ACAAGGTACGGTTGGCGTTCCTGACCACGTCCCCACACTGTCGGCCCATGTTCATTTTGGCATCAATAATGACTCCAACATCATTTTCTGCCTCTGCACTGACAAGAAGGGAGTTCCCCAGCCTGTAGGTATGCTGCTGGTTCCTCCTCCCCAGGTGCAGCACCTTGCACTTGTCAGTGTTGAAACCCATCCTGTTCTCATCCGCCCACCCCTGTAACCTGTCTAGTTCCGATTGCAGCCTATTCCTCCCTTCTAACGTACCCATTTCCCCCAACATCTTAGTGTCATCTGCGAATTTGAACAGGGTGCTTTTCACCGCCTCGTCCAAGTCACTGATGAAGATGTTGAACAGTGCGGGCCCGAGGACCAAGCCCAGCAGAACCCCACTGCTCACATCCCTCCAGGGGATGCCCACATGCCCGCATGCTCCTGCACCCTTAATACAGCCTCCTTGAAATACATCCAGCTTTTCTGGACTCCTTTCCCCTCAGACTTGCCTCTCAGGGGACCTTGACCACCAACTACCCAAGTTTGTAAAGGCCACTTTTTAGGGATGTTATCGAACATAATCTTAAGTAATGCCTCATTTGACTTAAAATATTACAGAGCATCATACAGAGCCAGAGGGTAATAATAATGATTTATGTGACCACATCTGGAATAATGAATCCAGCTCATTATTAGAGCCTTCTTACCAGAAAAAGAACAACATTGGAAAGATTTCATAATAAAATGATCATGCAGTTCAAGGAAACAATTTTCAGTGAAACAAGATGAGCTACAGATGTACCATTTGGCTAATAAATAGGCATGTCTCCTCTGATGACAAGATGTGTCAGGCTCTGGAACATTCCCCAAAAAGAAGTGATGAAAGCTTTACTGGAACTGTGCCAATACTGGATTTAGTACTCCACTGAATAAAATAACTAGAGTACTGTGGGACATATACAATAGCTGTGCTCTGGTTTGCAGATTCAGAGAGAGAGCAAGCAAGCGAGTGCAAGTGCAAGTCAGAATCAAAGCTTAAGTTCTACAGTCACAAGACAAATCCTCTTGGGAGAATTCACCTTAGTGGGTACCAGGGCACTGGATGACAAACCATATAAAGAAGAGTTAAGAAGAAATATTAAGAAAACCAAATGAAAGTTAAGAAAATAAATATAAACTAAAGATTACTCAGTGCAGTGTGAAGCCAAAGTGGCTACTCCATTGGGTTACAACTTTAATTGCCTTGCATACTACCCATGTGTTTTTCATTTAAACAACATGTACAGTATCAAAGAATATTAAAACAATTCCTTGGTTTTTTGTTTTTATCATACTATGCTATATAACTAAACTAATAAAATTGTTATTTTATTGTAACAATAATAAAGGTTATTATAATGATACAATAGCTTGCATTTGCCCTTCACTGATCTGTTATGTATAAAAATTTCTCAAAATTGTCCCTTTCTTCTGCTTGTTTCCTTACAGTGCTCCTTTATCACATCCTTCCTTCAGTCTCTTTGTTGGAGAACTACTAGTGGCAAAAGTGTCACATCTAACTGTAATAAACTGCTTCCCAACCCCACTCCCTAGCATTATATTTGGGGGTGGAGAGAGCTGCACTGCAGGGAACAGCATCCTAACATCAATAGTTTGATCTTCCAAAGTTGTAGTGGTTTGAAGGGACATGTCTCTTGTAAATGAAGCAAGCAAAAAACGAAAACAAAACAAAAAAAGCGGGGGGGGGCAGAGAGGCAGAAAGGCAGAGCAGCCATAAATTAATCCTTCACGTACCTTTTAGAAAGCACTGAAAAGACATTTTTTTGTATTTTTAGCTAATGGAATACCAGTTTCCCCCTTCATTTTCTATTATCAGTATTATTCCCAGAGAAAGCACAAAATCTTACTCAGGATGTAGCCTGCTGTCCAGCTGCCCTTGCTAACCAGTCCTTGTAGGAAGCGAAAGATCATGACCCACAGATAAGTTGGTGCTAAGGCCACAAGAATTCCAGAGATGGCATTTGCAATGATTGTAATTAAAATACAAAGCTTGCGACCGAACCTGTATTGGATGAGAATTACATGCATAAAACGACACTGAAAATGAGATTATAGACATGGATAGTAGGAACCTTAAAGAGTTTCACATATCATTTGGAACATCCAAAAATGTAACATTGGCCTCTCTCTCTCCAATGCCTAATTCTACAGAGAAACTTATTGGTAAAGGAGTGACATAGTAATATGTGATATACTGGGGGGTTTTCTTCAGCCCCGAAGGGTTAACTTGCCCATCAGTTCATAATTCTGTAAGTAGTTCTGAAGCAATTGGATGGGATCAGATACCCCAAATGACAAATGGACAACAGACCCACATTTTAAAAACCACATATCATTGGATTGTGGCAGTTAAAATTCCATAAACAAAACAGGAAGACACCCCCTTGTAATAGGCAATTAAGCAATAAGGAAATGATAAGCAAATTAATACACAATTAGTCTGCCTTTTCTTTTGAATTGCCTATACAATATAATGGATTAGGAGTAATTTATTTACATACAAAAAGGCCAATCTTGCAAACTATCTTTATTTAGATCTTCCCTTCTGCAGAACTTGATTCATACATGGAGAAATTACACAATAAAGCTCACAATGCCAACAGAATAAAGCAATCTTTTTGGGTGAGGGGGCAGGTTCTTGAATGTTGGCAAAACAGATTCTATTGCCTTATGAACCAGCATGAATTTGCCATGCACCAAGCCAGCAGTGCATTATCCCTGACCTCATCAAGGTTCTGCAAGGACTTTATAAGTTGTTGCCAAAATAAGTGTTAAAGGTTATGACACACCAAGCACTATATTCCATATTTTGCCAAACAGATGTTAGTGTATCTCATAGAGCACTATTAGCTGATAAGCAAAATATTGTCAAAAGGAAACAGGATGTTTTCGTATCATAGCTGTCATTAATATTATAGAAGAGCAGGGAACACAACAGGCAGAACAGCAACTATAACTCAATTTCCTAGCTTTTGTTAAGTCAGAATATTTGTGTATAGGAAGGCTTGGAATTTTGCACATATCATAAAACCCATGAAAAGAACTTGAGTTCTGCAAGAAGGGATGTTACAGGACCAGCAAAGATTTCCAGCTATGAAACCACTAAGTCTCAGAGTCTTTGAAAGGTCCACGTAAAGTGGAGAGAAGTGTTAATTCCTATCATCATGACATTACATCCAACTAATATGATCTTTTTTCCAAAGGAGCAGTGGTCTGCTATCAGTCACAGACTTTTACCTTTAAGTTAACCTTTTTTTAGTTACTAAACACTGATTTTTTTAAAAGGTCAATATCCCTGATCATCCCGCACATACCTGTCTGCTATGTAGCCAATGTTTACAGAGCCAAGAAGAAATCCAGCATTCACACATGACTGAAAGAGGTCCAGCTTCCAGGAGTCATCACATACCAGGTTAAACTGAAGAGGCACACCACAGTTAGAAGAAAAACAGTGAAACTAGAAATTGGTTCATACCAGTATCAACAAGCGTCTCTGAAACATTTAAAACATCTTTCTGATCAAAAGCCTCCATTTTATCAGCATCCAAAGTCCTATTGAAGTGATTTGAGGTGCACAGGGACAGTCTGTTGGATAATTCTGCTGTTAACTCCTATATTTCCTACTCATCTCATTTGTTATTACTAGAGACAATGCGAATGAAACCCCAATCTGTTTCTCAGCATGATAGTATCACTGAGTCAGGATTTGGTTCCTAAATCAGTCCTCAAAGACATAAGCCTGCTGGGGGCTCTCTGGCATTGGTAACTCAGCTACAATTTCAACGTTAATTCCTGCTTTTTCTATTCCTGCACAACAACAGGGGGCGAAGGACCGCCTTTTCAGTGAACAGTCTAGAGGTCTATAATAGAAGCAAACAGCTCCCTGACCTATCAGCTTTCTGAAAAGCATGATGGACCAGTTTGGGAACTATTGACTTAAAACACAGTGCATGTTAACCTGAGCAAGGAGGGCTTGATTTCAATAAGTGCAAGGCCCAAGCAGAGATTCCCAAGGCTTCCTGGGTTTGTGAACTAGGTCTTCAAAATGCAAAGAGGACTCTCTTGATGCAAAACATGACTGCTTCATTAGGCTCTGCCAAGAGGGAACCAAAGTTACCCATTTGCAGCTGCTCCTCCTGACTTTGTGCAGCTTTTCAGAAAACGTCTTCTAGAGGAACGGCAGTTATTTGGGGGAACTATAAAGAATAAACAATTTTAAAAGCCATCCTAATTTGGCTGTCTATCCCTTTCCTGTCAATATCCACTTTATTAAAGTTATACTTTTTTGATCCATGCAAGAGTACATATTTAATCCCATGCTGATGTATTTCCATTTGCAGTGATTACTATTGTAGCAGCCTTTAAAAAATGGACCCACCTGAACAGAAGGGGAAGAGCTGCCTGGCAGAGACAGAGATTGTCCCAGAGGGGACACTGTAGGCTCTGAGGGCAAGAGAAGCTGTTTGGGAGCAGCCCTGCTGGAAGTGGGAGGGGTGACCTAACCCCAACAAAGATTTGAAAGAGAGCCCTTGGCAAAAGCCCGGGAAGGGCCCTGAGCTGGGATTGGCTGAGAGGCTTGGGTAAAAGAGGGAGCAGTTTTTCCCGCGGGGGAGCAAGAGAGAGAAGGGGCTGAGGGACAGGCTGGAGACCGGATTGAGAGTCTCAGCGCAGTGGTCCCTCGGAGAGCCCCTGAGAGAGGCCTGCAGGAGCAGCAGTGGAGAAGCGGCAGGAGCAGGCAGGGACTGCTGGTGTGGAGAGTCCAAGCCTGGAGAGACCTGACTGCAGGTGGTGTGGCTGGGTGAGCACAGCAGAGCCGGGGTGGGGACTGCCGGAGGCTGCCCTAGTTTTCCTGAGGGGTGAGGGGCCCCAGGGGCAGGCAAAGCCCAGGGAGGGGCTGCAGTTGCTGGGGCTGTGAGGCTGTGTGGGGCAGGAGGGTTGCTATAGCCTGCAGCCCAGACACTGCTCCCAGCAGAGCCAGGGAAGGGGGGCAAAGGCAGGGGAAGGCTGTCTTGCAGGAACTGCAGAGGAGCTGCTGCTTGCTGCCCAGAGACCCCAGGAGCACGGAGATGGACACCAGTGCCAGGGAGCGTTCACACACCATGTATATGGACACAGACAGTCCCGCTCCCTGAGATACCCCGCCAGGGGCAGTGCACGCGGGATCCCCAGAACACCGTGTGCAAGTGAGAGACTGTGTAAATAAGTTCTTGAGGGTTTATTAGACAGTATATCCATGTGCTTATTTAATGATTATTTATTATGATGTAAATAATT